TTTCTCCAAGTTGAACCAAAACACATTTTAGTTTGGATGGAATCAAGGATATCCCAATCTACCCTATCATAGGCCTTTTCCCAATCTAATTTGATGATGAGACCTTGCTGACCTAAGAGAGATTGAGGGTGGATGGCCTCAGGGGCTGTTAGGGCTCCATCTAGGATTTGTCTGTTAGCTACAAAGGTTGATTGGGAAGGAGAAATGATGGGGGAAAGAGTATGTTGAAGCCGTGTAGCTAACACTTTGGCTAAGATTTTATAAGAGTTAAGAAGATTGATAGGGCGGAAGTCCTTCATCCTATGGGCTCCCTCTACTTTGGGAATCAAAGCTAAAAAGGTACATTTGTGAGCTGAATTTAGCCTACCTCTCAAAAAGAATTCATGAAAAAAAGCTAGGAGTTCCTGGGAGGTAACTTCCCAGAGGTTTTAAAATAATGCTATGGGGAATCCATCATGTCCAAGGGCTTTGTATTTTGGAAGATCAAAGGCAGCCTTCCTAATCTCTTCAAAAGTGAAAGGCCCCTCTAAATGTAACGAAGCTTCAGGGGAAATAGTTTTGAAAGTTATGTTTCCTAGGCTAGGGCGACGATGGTTGGGCTGGGAAAACAGGTTTGAGAAGAATCTAATGAAAAGCCGGCTCATATGGCAGGGATCAGTGAAGGTTTGAGGGCCAACTTTAATTTGTGTTATTGCATTTCCTCTTCATCTAGAACTGGTCGTCTTGTGGAAGAAGGCAGTATTTCGGTCTCCCTGTTTGAGCAATTTGATCTCTGGTACCAATAAGTATCCTCTTGTTCTAAGGTTTGAGCGATGTCTATTTTGGCTTGGATTCTACTATGTCTTTTTAAGGTAGTAAGGGGCCTTGTTTCTTCCATCTGGTCCACTTCTGAGATTAAGGTTGGATAATCTCTAATCCGGGTTCTAAAGTTTGAGGGGAGATCCCTACTCCATTGTTTAAGTGCTGCTTTAAGGTTTTGGAGTTTACAAGTGAGCCTGAACCCAACCCACCCTATTACATTGGTGGAGGACCATATTGAAGCAAGCAGTGGCACAAAGGTTGGTTCCTCGAGTCAATGCAATTCAAACCTAAGAGGTTTATTGGTGCAAGGAGTGGGATTGGTAGCTAGAAAGATAGGTTTATGGCCAGAAGTTGCTTTTGTGAGAGCTCGAGAAGTGGTGCCAGGGAACATGGTTTCCCACTGTTGATTGACTAAGAATTTGTCTAAGTTAGACATGATAGGGGTAGGGGCATGGTTTGATCAGGTGAAGGAGGCGCCTAAAAGGGGAATGTCGATGAGGGGTATGGTTTCTATAAAGTTTGAGAACGCCCTCATCGAGGCACTAATACTCCCTCCATTGGATTTTTCATGTGGCCATCTCACTATGTTAAAATCGTCAGCCAACAGTCAAGGGATGTTGTGAGGAGGGGCTAATGAGGAAAGTTCTAAACCAAAGAGATGGTTTGAGGGTTGAGCTATTTGGGCCGTGGATAAAAGTGGTAAAAAAGAGCAAGTTATCTACAATGCGGTTAAAGGATACAGATACGGAGTAGTCAATAACTTGTGCCGATGTGCCTTAGAGAATACCTGGGTTCCAACTACCCAAATACCCCCCCCCCCTCCCCTCGAGGCCCTTGGGAGTCTTTGGCCTCCCAAACACAGGGGTTACAGCCTGAAATAGACCTAATTTGAGATAGGTCCAAGGAAGGAAGCTTTGTCTCAAAAAGAGCTAGGATGGTCAAGTTAAAAGTACCCAACTATGGATCGGACAACACTTCTTTTGGTGAGGCTGCCGAGGCCCCTGATGTTCTAGCAAAGAACCTTCATCGAGGGGAGTTTGGGTGGCAAGAGGATTTCCTAGAAACTTTCCTCCTAATGGGCCTAGCAGTAAGAATAGAAGATAAGGAAGATGGTTGAACTAAGATCCGAGGGGTGTGATAGTTCACCCTAGAGTGAAGCTTAACTAGCTCTCTAGAACTTCTACTTCTACGAGGTGAAAATAGTACATGCAAGTCACCAGTATTGGCCTTGAATTGGTTGGTGAGAAGATCTATTTCTCCTGAAAAGGTGAGGCCTGCTTCAGTGATCGTATCAATTAGAAGAGGAGCACCTCTGTCATTTCCAGTTCCTGGGAGTCTAGAGAAACTGAAGATTGGATGTCGGAATTGAAATCAGACCCTTGATAAGAATTAAGGGTAGTTGACAGGAACTGGGCAAGGAAAGAAGGATATAAGTATGGGTTGTGAATTAAGGGAGGTTCAGTTGGTTGGGGGGGGGGGGGGGGAGGGTTGGTGAGGTGAAGGTGACGAGGGGAAGAAATAGTTGAGAGGGGAAATGTCGGGTGGAAGGCGAACTCCGGTCTGTTGGGCTGCATTTAAGGCAAGCCTCATTTCTAAGGGCTTAGGTATTAACTCATCAAGGTTGGAGTGTTGTACCCCGGTTCCAAGCAGGTTTGGAGGTGGTAGATAACCTGCTGGAAGAAGAGGGGTTGATTGGAGTAGGCTCTGAAAAGACGAAAGTAGGCGAGGTATAGGTTGAATCTAAATGTGGGGGTGGAAATCCAGCGCAGAAAGCATAGGACGGGGTGTAGGTTAGGATTGGAGATGGGTGGGAAGGCAAAGGTAAGAGAGGAGGTTGAGAGGGGGAGGGGGGTTGTGGTGGACTGACATCAAAGCCACCCCAGGTAAGAAGGTTTATGTTTCTGTTGGCGTGTCATATTAGGAGAAGAGGAGCAGGTTAGGGCTTCCTCAAGGAGAGGTTGTAAATGGAAGGCTGTGGATAGGGGCAGTGGAAAGAAGTTTGGAGAATGAGGAGATTGGGGTAGAGGCGTATAAGCGAAGACAACCATAGCCGAGCTGTCTTGGTGGGGGGTGAAGGGATGATGGTCGCCATTGAAGATAGGCATTGAATTTTGGGAGTTGTGAGAATTTGAAAGAGAAGTGTGAAAGGAAGGAGAGGGAGGTGGGAGAAGATAGTGTTTAAGGGGGGGGTCAAGGGAGAGTGCACAGGGTCTGGTGTGGAACCCTTCCAGGTGTCTCTTGGGAAAGAGGTGGCTGGGTAGAGTGGGCTAGGGTTAACCTTGTTTGAGCTTTAATCGAAAAAAAAAAAAGTTAAATATTATCGTTTTCGAGCTCTAACAAAAATAAAAAAAAAAAGACTATGTAGCTTTCTCTGAACTCTTAGCTTGCAGCAATGGGGGCGATGAGGGGAATAGACCTGAGGTGAGGAGGATAGGAGTTGCTCAAAGGTTGAGCTTCATCGGGGCGAGTGGAAATGGATGGTTGAGTTGCTAGGGTTTTGAGTGAGAAAGGGTTAGAGGGATGGATGGTTGAGTTGCTAGAAATTTTTTTCTCAGAGGGGTGATGACTTCAGAGAAGTAGTGAACTAGGGTCCTTGTGTCCTTTATAACCCCAATGCGTTTTTGCATGTCACAACTTTTTTGCTCGTTAACTTTCCGTGGAAGTTGCAGAGCGAGGGTACCCATGTCCCGCAACTTTCCCGACCGAAACAATGTTTTGGGGAATATGGCAGTTCTGACTTTTCACCTTTTTACTGTTATAGTATAGGAGAAAGTCGAGGACTTTCCAAGTGCGTTTGACAACTTTCTCTGTAGTTTCCCTAGGAATCTCTCTGTTGCTAACTTTCATGGAATCTAGGAAGAAAGTGAAAATTAGTAGCCAGAAAGCTGGGAACCCCATTTGATAAACTGTGGTGCTGTTATTTTCACCTGTTTGGTGGTGGAAAAGCAAGAAACAACCTGTTTTAACTGTTCATTGTGTGTTTTAGTGATTTGAACCGCAAAATGTATTTTTTGAATAAGATTATCTTGCTACAATCCATCTAATGCATTTCTTACAGTGTATGGTTAAGATTGAAATTTAATCTCATATCTATGTAACTTAAGAGAGAATAACTCTCAATAAAAAAAATCAAATTTCAACCACACAAGTATACCAGAAAAGATAAGTACATAACCATATCAAAAGTTCACCACGAAAGTCTTATGAAACTCGAGGCATGACGATATTCTATTACAACTAGAGGCAAAAGATATGAACATATATGGAGAACAGTAGAACTTTGTACAATTCCTTTGTACAATTCCATGTAATCCATTATGAATCCTTCCATGAAAATACTTGCATGAAAACATCCATTCAAATAAATTATGGATCCTTCTAATACTTTTAGGCCAAAACTTTCATAAATGCATATCTTATAAAATGTAATGGTTGAGAGATAAGTTTGTTCTTATATTGTGCAATGTTCATTGAACATTTAAATCCCAAAAAACAGGTAAAGCATATCGACAACTGGAAGCGAAACACCGACTCTAATCCAAAGAATAAAATTAACACAACAATTTCTCCTAGAAAACCAAACGAAAGGAGAACAAATTTCAATCGAATCACTCATTTGAACCACAGAGTCCACCCATAGCAATTCTACATAACAATATCAATAACTCGCAACAAAAATTATGGAACAAAATAATTGTTGATCAACTTATCCATGGCAGAAATTTCAAAAGAAGTGCATAAGAAAAAATGAGCAATAATGATGAATAAATCATTGATAAACTGAATCAAATACCTATAGAAGAATCCTAAGATGTGAAAAATTACAGAAATAGCAAAGCAATCAAACAATAAATAGATGAATAACAGATCAGCGAGGTTTCCAACTATTAGCAGATCATGAAAAACCAGAATCAGAATACACCAAAACATGATCAAATGCGACCTCAAAAACACATTAAAAAAAGAATGGCAACTGAAACGAGGCAAATGAACAGCACCTCAAAAGAGGCAAAAAGAATCGCAACTCACATTACAGTGCAAAAAAAAAAAAAACAAATATGAACAAGACCATTCATGCCATTCATGAATGAACGGCATTCCATTCAATACAATAGTTAACTTACTTCAAAAGAAACATGCCATTCATGGTAAAAATACAGAAAATTTAAAGAAAATAAATAAGAAACTAGACAACAAACCTGTGAATGATTCGTCAGTTAAATGAGTAGAATAAACCAATTGACCCTGTTGAAGTTGGGTATTGATATTCCCTATAATCTCTTTAACAGATAAACCGTATATTAGATTAGGATACTCTCTAATGCCAAAAACATAGTTAACAGAAAAACCAGGTTAAACTTCTAGAGAGAGATCAATGAAACCTCTAACCACAATGTCGAGAGAGACCAAGATCATCTCCAAGTTCAAGAGAGAGACTCAAACCCATTTGAAGATTCAATAATATCCAGAGACAACACAAAATGAGGTTGAGCAAAGCCCGTCTCAGAAATTGTAGAGAGAAACGAAGACACCAATCCCAGAGAGAAAGAGGGAGATATTGATGAGCATACCTGCTATCCACCGTCCGGAGTGAGATAGTAGAGTTCCTGGATGGCGACAGCGACAAGGAGACAGTGAACTTTGGGCGAGGAGGAGAGAAGTTGCAGGCTATGGTTCTCTGTGGGCCGAGCAGCAATGAATGGTTGAGAATCTCTGAATATGTAGATGGACGATTTGGATCAATTGATGGGCGGGACCCGGTCTTAAAAAAATTCAAAAATTTACTAAGCATCGTTATAAATATTTGTTTTGGGATTATACAATGGGAAAAATTTATATAGAGCCCCGGCTCTAAACGATCAAATTAGTGCTTACCTCAAAATTTTCATTAGAAGAAGTTGTTTTGATGCCAAATATCTTCAAATTGATCATCTCAACATCAAGATGCATGAACAAGAGAAAAAAATAAATTTCAAGATTTGAAAATAGTATATTTTGTCACGTATTTTTGGACGGTGAATTTTCAAAATTTTCAAGTTTTTATAGATCTATCAATCTACACTAATTTTCAAGTTTTCATAGATCTATCAATCTACACTTTTTTTGAATATTTAAACTTTATAAATAAAAATTAAAATATATTTTAAGACTATTGCAATGATTTTTAGTATTGAAACGACATTTCTCGACACTAATTGAAGATAGGCTCTAATTTGATTGTTTAGAGCCTAGGCTCTATACAAACCGCCACCCTTATAAAACATTTATTTTTAGGGTGCGGTTTGTATAGAGCCAGGTCCTGAACAATCAAATTAGAACCCACCTTCAAATAGTATCGAGAAATAATGTTTCAATACTAGAAATCTTTGTGATAGTCTTAAAATATATATATATTTTTTTTAATTATAAAATTTAAAGCTTTAAAAATAATATAGATCAAGTAGACATGAAAACTTGAAAATCTTAAAAATTGACGGTCCAAAAATGTGTTTTAAGATGCACTATTTTCATAACTCGAAATTATATTTCCTCTCGTGTCCATGCATCTTGACGTCGAGATAATCAATTTGATGATATTTGAGCATCAAAACAACATCTTCTAGTGAAATTTTAGAGGTGTGCTCTAATTTAATTGTTTAGAGCCTCGGCTCTATATAAACATCTTCCTTATTTTATTGCAAATAGGTCACAATTAGACCTTGATGTTAAATATCAAATTAGATGGCCTACGTCATGTTACAAAGTTCAAAAGAAATTCTTTTGAAATTTGAGTTTAGACAATTACACAATCTCAGCCAGCCAATTTGAAACTTAACGGACAAGAGTAATTGTGATTTTCTTGTAGCAAAGGTAAATAGTTGCTTTGTATAGTTTTTTAATTTTATTGGGTTTTCAAGAAACAAATAAAAATAGCGTATTAAGAATTTTCATTATTTCCTAAAAAATACGTAAATATTGATACTTATTTTCCTGTTTTAATGTTGGTTGACCGTTACATTCACATTATAGAAAAAAATTTTATATATATATATATATATATATATATATATATATGATCATCATCGATATGAATACATGATCCAAAATGGAGCACACAATTGTAAAATACAACTTAGCACCAAAAAAAATTACAGTGTTGTTCTTCCTCTTCTACACACTCATAAGGCCTTTAAAGGCCACATAAACCCAACAAAGGAGGTAGAAAGAGATGAGAGAATATACAATTTTGATGCCACCCTATCCCAACCAACCGAGCCCTAGCAGATTTGGGTATAGTTAATTAGCTATTAAGGAGGATGACTTGTAGATTGACCGTCTCAATGAATTGTCTCACCAATTCAATGAGTGGAGATACTTTTATTATAGTGCAACATAAACTTAGTGGAGTGTGGTCCCTCAAGGACCATACTAAGCGAATGATGTTTTCTTATACCGGACTGTGTTTATCGATCTAGGTCAGTCGGTTGGAAAACCTAAGGTACCTGGGCATAAAGAATTTACCGATGAGAGTTTTGAGTTAGCCCTTGATGAGGTTGGAGCTTATTCCTAGATGAGTGAGTCGAGGGACTATGTGACCCTTGTGTGTGATGGTAGGCCTACTGAGACGGGGGTAAAAACCTCATCCATGTTCCATCACACGTCATGCATATTGATAGATTGTTCGAAAAAGCCAGATATCCACATTTGGGTGAAGCGTATGCATGTGTGAGAGATACCCCTATGCGCCATAGAGTTGTGGTCGCATCAGGTCGTGGTGACATTGACTCGTCTCTAGGGGAGGACCTGTACTCCATAGACTGGGATTGTGACCCCTTGATTCATCGACCTGACTTTGGTGACCCGCTAATGAGCCCCTGCTTAAATTATGGGTCATGGAAAACATTGGGTCGGTTCGATAAAGCTAGTGAGGTCTATAATCCACAATTGAAGGTGAAGTACCCCATTATTACAGATTGGATTCCTAAAACCATATAGATCCTTTTCCCATCATATTAATTTAATTGTGTTCATTTTATTATTGAAATGATTTTAGTTTTATTATTTGAATTTTATGAATCTCTTAATATTTTATTTGTGATTTTTGGTCTTATAAAAATATAGTTATTGTTCTTACAAAGTTATAAAAATTCAAATATATATGTGAAATTGTTTTATTCAATTTTAAAAAATATATATTTTTATAAAAATTCCATGGGGGCCCATAGTGCACATGGGCCCACCATGTGGCATGTGAGTGGGGGCTCACACATGCCACATAAGGGTGGCACGCCCCACCCTTTTGGATGCTCTTTGATTGGATTTGTTTTTAAGTTGTTTAATGTTGGAAATAGCATCTTATGTCATGTAGTCATACCTTGGAAAGGAAATAATGACTATGACTTATTTTGTATTTTGGCAAGTTTGTTTTAAAAATATATGATCAATTTGAATAGATAGTAAATATTGACCTTATCTTGTTCATATTTGGTAGTATTTATTTACTTGATATTTGTTGATATATTCTTATAGAATATGTGACATGGATCATGCAATTTTATGGAATGCATGATATTTATTTTATTTAAATATATTGATAGGAAAATGGTTTAAGGAAAGAAGGATAATGGTTCAAGCACCTTCCATAATGTTGATGGCCGATCTATGGCATGGATGGCTCAAATTTCTCACCCCACAAGTCACCTTAATCAACAGTCTAGATTCAATCTCATGAAAGAGACAAACTATGGGAAAACCCTAATAAACCCTAAACCTAATTATTCACTATAAATAGGGGTGCTCTCTCCCAATCTCTACATAACCTCTCTCTCTCCTAGAGGAGCACGCCCCACTCTCTCTCTTCCATATTTCTGTCTCTAAATTTTCTCTTTTCAAAAACCTTAAGTAGTACTCTCTCTCTCATCTCTAGACCTAAGTTAATTTTAAGGGTTGGAAAAATTAGAGGGGGGCCTAAGTCAATTTTTTGGGTTAAGGCTTAGTAGATATTTTAACGGGTGGTTACCTAGTTTGGCCGAAATCAGCTATCCTATTTTGAGATTAAAGCTAGACCACAGATCCTGCGCCATTGGATGTAGTGACTCGGTGTGGGGTGTAAAAAGCCCAGTTGAGGCAATCTTCAGCATCTTTTTTTTTATTGGTTTGTTCTTTTATTTTATATTATCAAGCACAGTATTAGGTTGTATGAATGGCATCAAGTAGTTGAGATTTATTTTATTGATGTGTTATTTATTTTTAGAATTTCTATTGTTTGTAATAAGATCATCTGTGAGTGATCTTGTTGCCAAAATTATAAGGGATAATTATTATTAAAAATAATACTAAATTGTATTTCCTCGACAAAAGATCACATAGGTCATTCTTTCATCCTTCTCCCTCTCCCTCAACAAATGAAATAACACCTACACCTCAGATGAATTGCTTAAATCTCAATGAGTCACCTCCTCCGCCTTATTCATCAACACATTTTTTTATATCTTCCTTGCCGATTACCTCAAAGAATACTCTCTTGTATAGCCTTGGATCATCTTTCTCCACCACCCAATGCTGCATATGTGACAAATATTGTATCTAAGTCGATCAAAGTGTAGCCCTTAGTCTTCTTCTTTATTTGTCGGTCTCAGAGTTTCAAATTGTAATTAATATAAATGAGCTTATGAAGTCTCTCGAAAATCATTTAATTCCTCTTAAGAGTGTGCATCCACTGGAAGATACTTGTGTTTTCACTCATACCAGTAACTGAACATGTATAAGAGAGTATCTTGATTGTTATCCTTCTTAAATGAGGTGTGTCACAACTATAACACGCACACCATTCAACTAAAAATAAAAATGTAAAGAGTGTTAGAAGAAATGACTTGAATATTTCTTAAGGCCCTTTTTGGTCCCCTGAAAAGGGACTTCTAAGGAAATGTATATCATAGAATTAGTATATCCTAGAAATGGCATCTTGAAAGATGGGTGTATGTTATTTGGCATCTAGCAGAGACCTGATGTATTTTTAAGAAATTCAAAAAAATACATTGTATCATTATTTTTTTAAAAAAATAACCATAACAATGTCGTGATTATTGTACTTAAGAATCGTTTAGGTCCTTCTTTTTATTGTTTCTCCAAGAGAGGAACAAATGGTGACATTTCTAAATTATCGAGTTTGTCTTCTGACATCTAAAAGCAACCAAAATTTGAGGCAAAAATTGAGGATTTTATTTTCAATAAGTTCTAATATAATATCCATATTTCAAGGTGAGATTCCTTCATTCCAACATTACATTTCACAAAATATGTGCATGCAAACATTACATCACAATTATAATAATTAAATGATAATATAATATTATTTATTAGTATTAAATGGTACTATAGTATTATTGCACTATACCACTATTATTAAGGATATTAATCAAACCAAGAAGGTGATTCAAGCGCAACGATGTTTTGATTGTAGAGCCGGTGTCGTGCGAGACTAACCTATGCCCATGCTTGACTGGATGCGTCCTCGCATATCCAAGCACCCGGCTAGCTAACCACTAAGAAATTGGTTATGCTTGGGAAGAGTTCTTCAAG